ATCCCTCTCTCTTTCTCTCTATAAAAAAATCAATAAAATATATTAAAAAAGAAAAAAGAAAAAAAAAGAACTCAGTTGTTTGAACTGTAGTAACTTGGGTAAGGTGGAACTATTTCCCAGAATTCCCTTCCATAAGTGGTTCTAGGTCAGAGTTGGCCAAAAGAGGAATTTACTTGAGACCTGAAAGGAGGAACTACAGCAGCAGTTGTTGCCCTCTGAAGTCACTCCTCGCTTCTAGGTTAGATGTGGTGACAAGTTACGGAATCTGCTGGGTTCCAGCTCATCTTCACACTCCTTTGGTCCGTGTTCAGCTCTTTCCCCCAAATACTGGACCTACTGGCCCACAAGGATCCCAGGCCCATCACCAGACATTTGGCATTCAAGAAATACTTAATGACTGACCAATGTAAACTAAGCTATAACAACACAGTAAATAATTTAAGCTCCTTGTCGCACAGTACCTTTAATGTATTGATAATGTACTATTAATTTATAGAATTATATAGCCTTTTGCACATATCAAATATTACATAACTTTTTAAAGAATAAGTCACCCGCACGTGATATTTTGTGGAAGAGCCACACTCAAGGGGCCAAAGAGCTGCATATGGCTCTCAAGCTGTGGTTTGCCAATCACTGTTCTAGTGAATAACAGACTGACAGTTTGTTCAAATACACCAAGACATTGACCACTGTGCACCTTGGGAATAGAAGTGCTATCTGTTTAGACTATGTTTTAAGCACAATAATCTCATTGTACGCAATGTCATGGTAGGTTTAGAACATTAAGAGGACTCTCCAAGGTCGCCCATAATATTATTTCCCCGCTAACTAGCAATTCTTTGGGGTCAGTCTTTCTGTTAAGCCACCTACCTCCACTCCCAGATGCGGTGGGCTCTTCTCTCCAGGCCCGAGGTAAAGGGGTACGTCCATTTCCCTTTGAGCCCCCCGAGCTAGTCATTTTGAGTCCCTCTTCAGGCGCCCGAACCCCTAGCTCAGTCTTCCTTCTCCTTCAGCATGTTCTCAGCCTCACTCCTGTTCAGTTTGGCGTGGGTTCTCATTCCTTGCTTAGAAGTCAGTTTTTTTCTACAACTCTGCCAGCATCACCCACTCACCTGACTCAGCAAGAGTCACACAAATTGCATGCTTTAAAAATACCTTAGCTGGGTCTTGAGCATTGTTCTTTCCTTTATGCTTGAAGAAAACATTAAAGTTGAACATCTGATTACAGTTTAAGTCCCTGATTCTAAGTAGGCCAATGCAACCGGCATGTGCTTTGCCCATGACCTTTACAAAGAGGAATATTTCACTGGCTATTAATTAATTAGTTGCTTTTAGATGGATGCAGTGAGAACAAGAGAAGAGCCCTGAAATAAAGCAGAAGAGATTCTACACTTCCTAATCACCACTTCAACGTACCATTGGGAATTTTCTAATTCTGCCAATATTCGAGAGAAAATAATGATCTGTCATCAAAGATATGGTATTACTTGCCTGGAGGAAGAATGCGGGGTGTTTTACAGTTTCTCCGATTTATTCTTTGTTTTCAACATTACTTTAGAAGGTAATCTGATCCACTCTAATGACCCCAGAAAACGTTATCCTTTTCCAAGCAACCACTCTAAGACAGCCTGGCTTCTGGTACTCTTCTTCTTTAAACTCGTTCCAGAAATGAGCCTCAGAGGATGACTTTCTTAAGTCAACACAAACTTCAGACTTTGGGTCTCTCCAACAATTGGTCACAGAATGGAGATGAAACTAAAAAACTCAGGCATGCTCTCAAAGCTTTCAAAGCACAACACGGAACAAAGATGTGGAGATAGCACAGCCTGCTAACGCCTCCAAAGCCAGAGGGCTGATTCCATGAAGGCCCTGAGTTCTAGAACTAACTGCAGGTGTCGGCAACGCAGCGCTGGCAGCCAGCGGCAGTGGAGGCACTGCCAGTCCCAGTGGGCCCCCACAAGAGTGGGACCTCGGCGGGATGGTAGAGGTGAACGGGTGTCACCAGGCCAAGGCGGGTGCAAAGGTAGACCCTGGCCGCTGGCGGCAGCAGGCAGTTGGGGGAAGGAAAGCCCTGGCCAGTAGCTGGCAGCTGCTAGGGACCCTCTGCATGCACAAATTTCATGCACTGGGCCTCTAGTACTAAAATAAAGGACCTTCCCTCTACCCTTTATCTATAATGTCTCTACTTTAAATTCATTTTTATGAAAATGCAGTCTATACTCATTGTCTCTACTCCTTTAGGTCCCCTGCACTTGGTCTTGATGTTTCTAAGCTACTATGTTACAATTGTTCTCACTGAAGGCCTCTGACTTGGTCAAATGCAATGGCCTCAATTTTCTTCTCATCCCAAATTGACCCCTTGGTGACCTTTGATATTCACTACTTCCCTTTAGGAATGTGTTCTTAGCCAGTCTGTTCCTGAGAGTGCGCTGTTGAGCACTGCAGTGCCTGGAGTCCTTTGCTTGGCCCTCCCTCATTGCTCAGCAAGCTCCCCTTTTGTGACCTCACCCACTCACCCATGCTTGACTCCACACTCATCTCTTCAGTCACATTTCCAGCTGTCTGCTGGTTACCACCATTTGAATGCCCCATTTTCAAATGTCCAAACCAAGCCCAAGGCTTCCTTTCTACTCTCCCACCCAGTAATTGAAGGATTGAAGAATCTAAAAATGTTTTCTGTCGTCCCGTTTCCCTCACAACTGCTCTACGTAGCTCCAGTCACTGGGACTCACAAATCCTACCCACCAAAATCATACTCCATGCTTTCTCTTCTCTTCCACATCTCCATTCCCTCAATCCAGGCCCTTCATCTCACTCATCTGGACTGTTGTTGCACTAGTCTCCTAACCAGTCTATTCTCTTTAGTTTATTCCCTTCCAGTCCAATTTTTACACTGTTCCATGGCATTTTAGTAAAATGTGAATCTGTGCCATTCCTCTGATTTTAAAACTCCTCAACACTTATGAACTTCAAATGTTCCTTCTCACCTTTTCTAAACAGGATCCTCAAACCTCTACATGTACAGGGGGGTTGCTCACCATTCGTATAGGTAGTTGCTCACATGTATAGGTAGTTGCTCACCATTCATATAGGTAGTTGCTCACATGTATAGGTAGTTGCTCACATGTATAGGTAGTTGCTCACAGGCATAGGTAGTTGCTCACCATTCGGAGGAGGAGGAACATTTGCTGCTCTTCCTCCTCTGAATGGTGAGCAACTACCTCCTCTTGAAGACTCAACTGAAAGGCCAGTCTTCCCAGGCCAAATGCATCACATGCTTCCCAGGCTCCTTGTACAAGAGGCCTCTGTGTAACCCTCACCACACTGCACCACTGATTTGTTTCTTGCTCCCAAGCCACCACGGACCTCCTCAGGGCACCTCGAGACCAGGATCTGTGCCTTACTCCTTGCGGTCTACCTCCCATTCTTTAAGGCCCATGTGGTATCTCTCTCTCTCGTCACAGATCTCCTAACCATCAAAGCGCAGTGACTTTACCACCACACTGATGGGCCGTGGTGTGTTTACCACAAGGCACAGGAAAAGCACTCATGTGTTTAATTCAACAGTTATTAGATGTGGGACACCCAGATGAGTAAGGCTGGACCCCACCTACGGAGGAGCTCGCAGTGTCATAGGGGAAACAAGCTCATAAACACGCTCACATAACAAGTTGTGGAAGCCCAGAGATGGAGTTACCCCAGGCCATTATGGAGACAGAGAGGCGGGGACGAGGGCAATTAATCCGGCCAGTGCGGGGCATGGGAACAGAAGAGGCCACTGGAGGCAGTTTCTGGGACTGCCGGAGCCCTAAGTGAGTTCCAGAGAACATAAGGGAAAGAGGGCAGGACAGGATGGGTGGAGAACAGGAAAAGGAAAATACACCAATTTTAAGTTTTTGTCCAATGCCCACATACAAGTAAAAAAAGTCATGGTATAATTTTTGCAAATATACCCGGCTCTTGAATTGTGAAAACAAACAACACAATCAGTGATCTCCTGTGACACCCTCTCTCTCTCTCTTTTTTCTGTTCCTCCCTCTCATACCCTCTGACAGAAAGAAAAAGCGTAGTATGTGTAATGAAAACTGCATGTGAGTACCTCCATGGCGGTACTGATGCGTGTAGAGTCAGTGATGCTCTTTTCCACACCATCCGGGCCGGACTCTCTCAGCCTTTCCTCACGCCCCTTCCTTCCCACTGCTCTGACCCCTTTCGCCTCGGCCAGAGCTCCCCCGGGCACACTGAGGACTAAGCGAAATCAAGGCCCCTATTTATTCAAAGATGATGTTGCCAAGAACAGACATAACTTTTTGTGCTAAAAAGAACTAATAGCAGCAGTTCTTTTTCCCCAGCATAAAGTTTACCCTTTAATTGGAAACCAGAGTTACTGTTGTTACACTGATTTCATTTCTTTAAGTCTTTGGTGACCTACAGTTTTTTTTCTTACAAGGAAATAACCTGTCAGGAAAAAAAACAAACACCACCACCTAACCATGGAGCAGAGGAAACTCAAGATTTAATTTCTGGTTTTGTCAGTGTTTCACTACGTAATTCTCTGGCCCATTTAATCTCAAATTCTTAAAGAAATCTTGAAATATAAGAATTATTTTATAAATAAAGTGATTTTTAACTATTTTCTTGTTTTTGCTACATCTTACTGACAATTATTTTACTAACTGAAAACTGATTAAATACATGTGTAGATACAAAAGATAAAATCCATCTGTCAGTTACTATTTTACATTTGTCAGTTACTAACTCTAGTATTTACTAAATACTAATTGCATCCCTACAAGTTCAATTAACAAAGCAGATAAATAATAGAAGTATGCTTGAAATTGGGAGGTAAGGGAGAGAGAAAAATAGGTGATCCCTCATCTGATATCTGATCTGGAACAGTCATACTAACAGTGTTGAGGGGGAGAGTACAGATAAAAGTAATTAAAAGCAACAGGTGAAGTTAAAAAAAAATTATCAAGTACATTCATTTCACTTACTGTCAAACAACTGCCTGAAAACAAGAGGCAAAATCCTCCTTCTTCCCTCCAGCAGCGAACCGAGTAGCAGCGCCATTCCAGGGAGGCTTGGTGGTGCTAAAAGGAAGCAAGATGGGTGTGAGATCTCAAAAGCTGTGACGAAAGGCATGCCAGCTACTCATCCTCCCACCTCGAGCGCTTTTTAGAAAGTGAATCATCACATTAAATGTTATAATCCAATTTCCAAAATTGTTCTACTCCACCTAAAGTGCTGTCACCTCTCATATTCTGACAGGCAAATGCATGCATTTCAAACATCGTTCTCTTCAGAGTCTGTAACGCGTGAGGCTCAGCATCAGCCCACTTTCTCCTTCCTGCCAGGGACACCGCTGGCTCCCCTCTCTCCAAGGCCACAGATCTAGCTTCTGCCCATCGTGCCCCAAACCACGGCTCCCCCCAAAGGCTGGGGCCTCTGACCTCTGGCCTGTTTGCAGACTCCTCCCTTAAACAGTTTGGGATGACAAATGTGACTATCTCTCTCTGGCTCGACATTTCAACTCGAGTCCTGGTTCTACAGTTTCAACTGCCTGGGAATTTTCCTTTATATGTCTAAAACCAAATGAGCACCCTGATCCCTCAAAACTGGTTTCTCTTTCCAGTTATTACATGCCCGATCCTTCTTCAGACCTGGAAGCCTGCAGACCATTTCTGCCTCTCATTTCCCTCTCTCTTATTCTGCCTCCTTCCTCCCTGTCCCCCTCGCAGCTCCCTGGACTAAATCCGTCACTCCGTCAATGCTGGAATATCTCGCCAGCCTTCCCTCCCCTCCTCCCTTTCTTCAGGTCATCTTTGACACTGCTACCACATTAATCTTCTGCTAGACACTAGGCTTTCTTCCTTTTCAAAATCATACCATCGGCCCTCTCCTTCAGAACACAGACAGTGTGGAGGTTTTAAAATGTGTTCCCAGACCCTGACACCCCTTCTCCTTGCACGGAGGAACCTAGTACCCTCCCCCGGAATGTGGGCTGAACGCCCTGGCTTGCTTCTAAGGAACAGAATGTGGCAATAGTGCTGCCTGCGCCCAAGTCCCAGCCCCATAGAAACTGCTAAGAGATCACTGATGTGGATGGGTATTCTAAGCACTAAATTTGGGGGTAAAATGCTACACAGCAATAGAGTACTAAATGAAAAGAGCCCTCCGCTGCCGAGTGGACCAAATCCACACCTTGAAGGAACTCCGGGTCTTCCACTAACTGTCCGTACTTTCTCTCTGAGTGCAAGCACACTGCTTCTGTCTAAGGCCAGTGACTCCGCTGGCCTCACATGACAGGGTGAAACTCTGCCGTGACGTCAGCCTATGCTAATCTCACAGGAAACGTCCTTTTGGAGTCTCTCCCCTAAACTATATTCTGAACTTTTAGTCTAAATTCAACATCTACTGACCAATGAAATTGTTGTTTTCTGATGCATATATATATATATCTGATTTCCAAAACTGTATTTAAGTTAGAGAAGGTGTAAATCAAGCTTTTGCTCTCTTTACATTCCCCATATCAATGGACAAATATACACTTTTTGTTTAGAATTAATTTTCATGAGGCTTCTTTCAAACAAAATTTTGAATGTCTTTTAACAAAGTTTGCTTGATTTTAAAAGCATCAAGTAGTTTTGAGAGGATGATTTGATAGAATATGTTACCAAAGATATATTCATGGTCTATGACTAAGCAATTCCATTTCTAGGAATCTATTTTACAGATACAGTAACACAAGTAAGCAAGAATATAGGAACAAGGGTATTTTCCTCAGTACTGATCATAATAGGGATACATTAGAAGCAACATGAAATACATCTACAGAGAAAAATTTAATTAGGGCACAATAGATTATAATGGATCCATTTTACTTTATTTTTTTAAATATATTTTATTGATTTTTTACAGAGAGGAAAGGAGAGGGATAGAAAGCTAGAAACATTGATGAGAGAGAAACATCGATCAGCTGCCTCCTGTACACCCCCTATTGGGGATGTGCCCGCAACCAAGGTACATGCCCTTGACCGGAATCGAACCTGGGACCTTTCAGTCCGAAGTCCGACTCTCTATCTACTGAGCCAAACCGATTTGATTTGATTTGATATTTATCTTTATTGTTGAAAGTATTACACAGGTCCTCCTTTCTCCCCATAAACCTTACAGCCCACTCCTGTCCTCCCCAACTCAGGCCCTCACCACCCCATTGTCTGTGTCCACAGGTTATGCACATATGCATACAAGTTCATTGGTTGGCGTGTATCCGTTTTAAAAATGAAATACGTTTGCATGTACTGACCTGCATATACAGGTCAGATCTCCATGATATAATTAATTATAAAAGCAAATTTCACAAAGAAAATAAAATATTTAACAACAGCTAAGTAGGACCTGAGAAAAACTTCTAAAACATTTCTAAAAAGGCACAAATGAAGATTTTAACAGACATTTCTTATTTGGGTATAGAATAAGTCAACATTAAAAAATGTATAGCATATGCCTGGTTTCGGGCTCGATCCCCCGTGTGGAATGTGCAGGATGCAGCCAATCAATGATTCTTTCTCATCATTGATGTTTCTATCTCACTCTCTCTCTCCCTTCCTCTCTAAAATCAAAATATATATATATATATATATATATATTTTAAGTATAAATTTGCAAATTTGTGCTAGCCAGTTTTGCTCAGTGGATAGAGCATCAGCCTGCAGACCAAAGGGTCCTGGGTTCAATTCCAGTCAAGGGCACATGCCAGGGTCGTGGGCTCCATCCCCAGGGGAGGGTGTGCGGGAAGCCGATTGGCGATTCACTCTCATCATCGATGTTTTTATCTCTCTCCCCCTCTCCCTTCTTCTTTGAAATCAGTAAAAAGGTATTTTAAAACAATAGATGGACTCTATATCTAGATAATATAATTTCATCCATGTTAACTTCCTAATTTAGAAAAAGAATAAACTTAATAAGTTAAGAGGGGAGTAAGTTCTGGCCAAGAATGCATACTGTGAATCTAACAAAGAGAAAACATCAGACGAACACAAATTGAGAAACTTTCTATTAGGGGGAAAAAAAAAAAAAAGGACTCTAGTCTTCCAAAATGTCAATCTAAAAGACAAAGAATAAAGGACTTCATTACCTCAATTGACAAAGCTGTGATACAGATAGATTAGATGAAAATATTTTAAGAATATAAATATCTGTACTATTACATAAGCAAATATTCTATTCTTAGGAAATACACACTGAAATATTTAGGGGTAAAGGGCCATGATATATATATATATCATTTTTTCAATTACTCAGAAAAATACATACATATATACATACAAAAATCTAGAGAGGAAGAAAATATGCGTAAATGATAAAGTCAATGGGGAAAATGTTAATAAGTGAATCTAAGTAAAAATAGTTATTCTTTGCATTATCCTCAGGGGTTTTTTGCAACTTTTTACTTTTTTAAATTTATCTTTATTGTCAGTATTACTGATGTCCCCTTTTCTTTCCCCACTGACCACCTATCCCCCGCCCTCACCTCCTCCCAAGGCCTTCACCACACTACTGTCTATGCCCATGGGTTATGGAGATATGCATATAAGTTCTTTGGTTAATCTCTTCCCGCCCCCTCCCCTTCCCTTTAAGAATCTTCAGTCTGCTGCATGCTTTCATGTCTCCAGATCCTTTTTGTTCAACAGTTTGTTTTGTTCATTAGATTCCACATATAAGTGAGAATCATGTGATATTTGTCTTTCTCTGACTGTAAGCTTGGTTAGCTTGGTTAGCTTCATTAGTTCTAACAATCCCCATCAACTCTGAATGAACTGATAAAATCAAATTTCTCCAACAGCACAGTCCCATCCTGGACACCTGATCAAACAGCGCAGCGTTCCTCTGGCTCCTGAGCAGTCAGTGGCTTCCCTCCCTGACAGGAATGTAACTTCCACTGTTGAAATGTTAAGTTTCCAGAAGCATCTCTCAAGGGAAGACCATCTGTCTCCATTAACCCCAGGATGCTTAGCAGACACTGGGAGCAATTGAACACTCACTGATTAATAAACACTGGCCTTTAAGAGAAAAAGCACTAAGCACCAATCAATAACATTTTGTTAATCTTATGAAAACAGAAAATAAACTGTGTCTGAGAGTTAACTCTGAAATTAATGCAACGTATTTCAAAACACTGCAAAATATCAATTTTTAAGGATAAGTATCATAAATTCACCATATAATTTTAAAGGAACTACCATACAAAATAACCAAATATTTGTTAAATGAAAATAATTTACTAATATTTACTTAAGAAGTTTTTTTTAAACTACCATATAATCTTTCATATAAAACCCAAAAATCTTTTTTAAAATATAAAGAAAATAGCCAGACATTACTCCTATTCATTTTCTTTTAGCAGCTTTATAAACATACTTATCTTTCATCATCAAAGGTTTATTAATATATATGAAATGTAAATTCGGAGTCCTACTTGCCAACTTCTAGACTTTTCTACTGAAACAAACTACAAATTCTATTCCTCTCTTAGAGGAGAGAAAAAAGTATCCTTTACTCCAGTGACTTTCAACTAGTATTGCACAATTTTTAAAACATGCAATACCTGACTATTTAGTCAATAAAAAGATGACAACAGCCAACACAATAGCCATCCAGTGCAAATGCCCTGTCTTGAACCATAAATATATAGGTCACATGACAGAGTTGCATCTTATTGATCACATCACATAATAAGATTGCATCTAATTGGTTAATTCTTGGTACCAAAAATCTTCACATACTGGTATAGGTACCTGATTTTTTTTTTTTTAAGTCACTTTGGAGTAAAAAAGAGTAATTACTATTTTTTTGTAAGTCCATCAAAATTATGCCAATTTTTTTTGTCAGACTGGCAACAAATATTTTGGTGTGCCACAGAATTTTAGTGATTAGTTTGTGTGCCATGAGATGAAAAAGATTAAGAATATATAATTTTCCTTTCTGCTTTTCTCAGGAAAATTCCCAGCCATCCTGAATATCAGGCCCCCATCAAGTCCCTCCTCTGCACATCAGCAGCTCCTGAAAAAAAATATCTTCTTACATCATG